TGCGTCCACCAGCGCCGAGCCCAAGCAGTAGCCGCATGTAGCCGCTGCATGACGGAGAGCGGGCGGGGCGCGCACGAGAGCCAGGGCTCCCATGGCCCAGCGGCCTCCCACCTTCGAGCCGAGCACGACGAGGCGCTAGGGACCGTTGCGGAGCAGCTCCGGGTACGTCGCTTTTTTGCGGCGCGTAGCAGTGGCCAACGCAGCCCCGTCTGTATCTGGTGAACGCCCTTTCGGTTGGCCATTGCGTGACACGGGAGAGATCAAGGTCGCGTCGTAGCACAGTGCCGCTCCCCAAGGGGTAACACAGCAGTCGTGTGCGTGAGCCACTGCTGCTGAACGACCTGCCATTCGGGCCCGATGGCTTCGTGTGCCACGCGGACCCACGCATGCTCCACGATTTTGGCCCGCCGTGCAAGCAGTCCCGTGCGTGGGCATGCTATGGCATGGTTTTCCATGGTCTAAGGGACGGCCGCAACCGGGCATGTTGCCACCGCAGGTGTTGGAGGTAAGCGGCAAGCCGAGACGTAAGCGTCGGCGCAGCGCTGCACACACGGAGCCGGAGCAGAGAACAGAGGAATTACTCGCACTCGTCGGTCGAACGGCCCCGCTTTCAGTGGCGAGGACAACCAGCCGTTGCGGCCCTGTGCGGGTGAGTTCCGTATCTGCCTGTGCACAGCGACAAGCGCGGCCCGCGCCCATGTGTCAGCCCCGGGGACGGGTCGGCCAGCGCGAGTGAGTGCACATGGGGACACAGCAACAAGCCTCCTTTAGGGTCGTTGCCTCGTAGACAACGAAGTCGATGGCGACGGTCGTCAACGTGGACTGGCGGCGCTGTAGTGCGCACAAGCCACTGCTGCGGCACGACCCGGCTCTCCGGGCCAACAGCCTCGCGAGATTCGCGAGCGACTTGAACCCAGGCCCTTTCGACAACAATTCCGCGATGGGGCAGCAAGTTTGCATAGGGGCAAGCCAGGTGGTGGTCCCCGTAGGCATCGACCTCAGCCCCACAGCCGTGGCGGCCTTCCGCACCACAGAGTCGGTCTATTTGATGGTTTTGGTTTAATTTAAGATTATGCGGAGTGTTACAGCGTGAAAAGCCAACCTTACACCAAATTATCAATAATGATGCAAATCCCGGCCGTTGCTCTTCATATTGTGTACATGCCGTTACAGGGCTCTACGGAAGTGAACCAGAGTTGTTCCGAGTCCTACCCAGGCGGTAACAGCCATAGATTGCTCAGCTGTTCAAGACAAGTCGCCGTCAATGTAAATGGGCTGCATGCACATTGTCTAATGGGCTTGCACGTTTCAGCAACAGTGATGCAAGTCATTTAATGTTGATAACCATTGGAGGTGTTGCAATTAGAGTATTACCAAGTGAATTCCAAATGAATCAAAAATCTCGACATTTGCTGTTCCTGTCCGCTGCAATCCGATTTCGTTTGGTTGTCTTGTCTCATCCGATTTCGCTTGGTTGCCATTGTCTCGCATTTGAAACATCTTCCTTGCCGGAACAAGACTATTTTCTTGTGCTTTCGTCACACAGAGTGCTCAACTTGCCCTTCCTAACTGGCTTCCAACCTTGCTAAATAGATCTGATAAGAAGTTACATAACCGGTTAACAACCAGTACACAATTATTCACTAACTGCATCTCTAACCTGTAACAAACCTTAAACTGGATGTCTTGTTCTGTATCCAATTACTAACCGCGCGGATCTTCCAATAGCACAACCACTTCACGCCCTTGCAGCCGTTTATTCACGTCCGCCCTCAGCTCAACGGTTCCGGGCGGGGCATGCACACCTGCGGCGAAGCTCGATACTCTTGCCTTTCCTTCGTTGCAGGCCAGCAGACTTTCCGACACGTGCGGAAGCACCTTGAGCAGGGCACCATGCTGTTCCAATGCAAAAATTGGGTCAGGGCCGGCGAATCACCCCGCTCGCAGCTTTCGCCTTGAGCGATGTTACGATGTTGTACCAACAACTTGATTGTCGCCCAATCAAAAGACGATGAGCCGAGCCAAGAGGACCAGTTCAGGCGCCGACGGCCTGGAGAGCGATGAGGAAGGAGGCGCGAGACATGGTGTCGTAGGCATGTACTGCGCCCTTCTAGCGGGACAAGGACTGCGTCCTGCAGCTCCAGAACTGATCGCATAATTAGGCGCTGCGCAGCGGAAAACGTCGCCCGTTGCGCTGCCACGCACACCCCCGTCCGGTTTGCGGAGTGCCGTGAGGCGAGCCAAGGCCAGTCTTGACACGATGTTTACAGGCATATCCGCATGGGGGCGCCTGGTTGCGGCAAAGCGAGGAGCTCCAAAGCAGGCACGCCTGGCGAGCAAGATTTTGAGATACGCATGCCCGAAAATCCCGCAGCTCCGGCACGGGTTCAGTCGCGGCGAGGAGCTTTGGAAGTCCAGGTCCGGAGTCGGCAGTAATCAAAGCCATCCGAATGGCCGGTCGCATATGGTCGCATCCTGCAACGTGGGCACAGGGCATCGCAAACCCGCTGCCAAATCGACATCGTCGCATGCGGTTTTGGGAACACTTGCCGAAACGCGCGCACAGGCGTCTTGAGGATCAGCGTTCGCTGGGCAAATAGTCACTCTACCGTCGCCTTCGTCTCTTTGCGCGGGAGCAGAGTGGCAAGATGTGGCAAGGTTATATACAACACGTCGGCGGCACTGTCGAGTCACTGTCGAGTTGCAAGACGTGAAGGGCATGTTGTCTGTCAGGCTGAGCTTTGCCTTGGGCCCCGATGGGTGTAGCCATCTCACAGCAGCAGCACAGTCAGTGCTGCTTGAATCTTACGCTGGTGCGACAGTCGCAGCAGCTGCGGGGGCTTTAGCCGACAATGTGGTCGCCCGGCAGACTAGCACATATCGACTTCTTTGCTGGTGCACCGGCTTCCAGGGCGGCTAGACCGTGACCATGCCCAGCCCGAAGTCATGGATCTTTAATTGTTTTGTGCTTTTTCGCGCCTCTTTTGCACCTGCATGGTTTGGGTTCCTGCTGTATGCTTTGCGCAAGTGCAGCTGCACACACCACGACATGCCCAGGGCCCGCGAAGCGGCAAGCGGCTCGGCCCCGCCGCGTCAGCAAGGTCGAGCACGGGGTCCAGGCGGCCGACATTTAGAAGGCGAACAAGGAAACAAGGAAGACCACCGACCGGATGGCCCCGATCATGTCACCTGGCTGCGCAGCTGCAGAGCTCCCCACCAAATTTAGATGCCACTGTAGCTGCTAGCCGGCACCTTCACGTTTTGATCCCCACACAAGTTCGCAAGAGGCGGTCCCAAAGCAACGAGCTGCAAAGCCCTCGTGGAAGACCAACAGCTTGGCTGGTACAGACTGTACAGAGTCAGGTATAGGTCGGGAAGGAATGCGGCGAGACCGCTGCATCGGTGAGGGATGACTCTTAGCTCCATCACGCCCATGTCTCCGGCACGAAGCCAAGCAACTCCGCGCTGTTGGTGCTGGTTCCGCGCTCCTTCACTTGCATCCACTTGTCGTGGCCACAGGTTCGACGGATCCTGTCGTGCTGCTGACCCTTGAAGTGGGGCATCAAGTAACGTTCCTGTCGTGCCGTCCCATTCTACACACGGCTGTACTGGTCACCTGTCGCAGGACAGCCTTACCTTCTTCAATACTCCAAATTATCCATTTGATCATGCTGGGTAGGGACTATTCCCTGCTGGGCTTGCTGCTACAACCTCGAGAGGGGGTGGCAAGGACGTGAAGTGTAGGTTTCGGGGATGTAAGGTCTCATAGCAACCTACGCAGCGGTTCTGAGCAGAATGCCGAGATTCAAGATTCGTCGAGGTTTCGGTGGTCTTCGGTGCCAAACGTGGCCTGTGTCGCCTGTCGACTGCACTTTCCAGCCGCAGCCCTGGTGACGAGTGTAGCCTGCTTCCATCTCCTTCCACATTCCTCCCCGTTCCAGCGGGACAACGCCGGCAAAACTGCGCTTCTGACTGTGGCTTCAGCATAACTGCGGCTCTCGTGACGAAGTGGCTGAAGAGGGTCAAAAAGAAAGCAAACCGGCCGCTCACAGTTTTGCCTGCTCGTGCCTGGTGCTCCCGAGAGTGTAAATTATCTTGTCCGGCTGCGTGTGAAACATCTCATGTTGATCCCTCACAGGGACCATCAGGAGATCAGAAGCTGGAAGCTCCCCTATCAACAGCCACCTGGACGGCAAGCCCATGCATGACGCCGGAGTGGGTCTTCACAGGGCCACAGATGATGCGCATGTTCGCCCCTGCCTCTGCTTCCTCTTCCAGGAAGTGTGTCAAGGGCAACTCGCACCTCATACCGCTGGCAATCTGGCTCTCAGCAGTCAGTTGTATGATTTGGAGAAACAGGGCTCGTCTTTTTTTCCTTTGGGTAGACACAGCAGCAAGCAGTCTGAGCCGCCCAGCCATCGCTCCTCTGAGCGCTCCATTTCCGGCGTTTTGTCGTCGGACTCATCCAGATTGATCTGATGGCCTTCTGGGAGAACCAAGTCGTCTTCAGGCAAGGCCTGGCAAACATGCCGCGTTACCCTCCACTGTGTCACCTACCCACAGGAAGCAAGCCAAGAAAACAAGCAGTACTCGAGCCTGGGCTTTCCAAGCATCGTCGATCACGTGCAATAGCCCAACCTGCACCAAGGCTGGCGCAGCGATAAGCTATCGAACAAAAGCCAGAATGTTGGTCCCGAAATGTCCCGAGGGCCTTCCAGCGGTGCCTGTGGCAGAATACGCTGTCGGACATGTGCACTTGCGACCTGCACATGCCGAAAGATGCGACAGAAGAAGCAGCAACTGGCACCAGTCTCTTGCAGGATCCCCGTCCCATTTGGCGTCCCACATGGGCCGGACCAGTTGCGTCAGGCGTCCCCGCCGGTCTACTCGAGAGCCAAGCAGCTCTGGGACAATTCAAGACCCTTATGGCCATCCTTGCATGAGCAGTGCAGCTTTCTGAAGGTCTACGGCACACTGACGCAAGATCTTCTGCAGCCTTTTCGGATCTGCCATCTTGTCACAGGCGAGGGTTTTTCCCTCCTAAGGGTGCTTTGTCTGTTCACATCACAAAAAGAGGGGCGGGGCTCAAGCCCCTGTAAGCAAAGCTGCATGAGAGCTCCAGTGCCTATGCCCATACAATACATGCCGATATGTTTGCAGGAATATCGGGTTTTATGTCCCACCTTTCCCACCTGCCGATAAGACGTGGAAAAACGTACACATAGCGGTTCAGACTCAAAACTGCGGTAACACAGCCGTGAGCCTCAGTGCTACGTTCACAGCGAGTGCAGGAGGCATTACGAGTACCGGGAGCCGGGCGCCTAGTCACCGTCAGAATCGCTACCACTGGAATCGCTTTCCTCCCCCTGCCAGTGTCGGAACCATCGTGCAAACAAGCTCGAAAGACGGGGTCTTCTGCATGGCCTTCTTGTCATCTTCATTATCACTGTCGGCCTGCGGCGGGTTCGCAGGATGCAGACCGCAGCACGCTTGGCACAAGCACGTGACAGAGGACAACAGGCCTTCTGCTGCTTGCCATCGCTGAGCTTCTCAACTTTGCTCTTGCCTTTGCTCTTGTCATCGTCTTCCTCCTCCTCGCTCTCGTCATCACCTCCGAGCCTGCCAGAGACGATTTGCAGCCTGTCAGGCCTCGGGCCTACGAGCTCTCAGGCGCGGGCTCGCCCATGAACTGTTGAAACAGAGTCGGCTGCAAATCCAGATCCTTTCCGCAACGAGCTGCAGAAATCAGCCACACTCTCAAGTCACAGCAGCACAGACTACTTTACGTAGAGCTGCTAACACGAGCGGATGTCCTCATCCTCAGGATGAACAAAGATCTCTCGCTTCACCTTCGGAAGGACATGGAGACTCGACAGTGAGAGAGCTTCTGTAAGCGGGCCTCCTCCTCCGTGTGCACAACAAAGTTCAGGTCCACCTCCCAAGAGCGAAGAATCCAAGCCAGAGCTTGCTCCGCCAGCGCATGCCAGCGCCCAGCGGTCTGCGGCCTTCTGGTCGATGCCCACGTAGGAATCGCAGAGCGCGTGGACGGTGAGGCTGTGTTTGCCCGGCCGGGAGACCTCCGAAACAGCGCTCCGAACATGCAACGGCTCAGAAAAGCTCATCTGCCCTTAGGCCTGAAAGCGCAGTTTGGTTTCGACGACCCGGTCCGTGTCCCGAATTCGCCTTGTCGGTCACCATCTCGCAAAATGCAGGCACGTGCATGTTGCCAGAGTGCTTTGTGCCGGATACCAAGAGCGGAACTCGAACCCCATGATTCTTGTGTTTGGCGCACCCTCCACCTTAGCTGGTTCAACATCTATAAGCAAAAGCCCACATGGTATAGGAAGCTGCAGAGTCCGGCCAGGAAGATCCACCATTCTTCGAATTTGGGCTGCCAGGGGGAACAGAGAGGCGATCAGAGCTTAGAACGGGCTCAGGCTCTGCTCAGCTCTGGCCTCAGGATAGAACGGTGCATGCACCGGGCCCATGGCCTAGAAACGGGCTCATGCGCAGCGCATTTGTAGCGTGGAGACAGCGAGAAAAGCGTGGAGGTGTGTGTCTATGCGGCACAGGCCTCACCCTCCTGCAGATTTTTTCGCCTCAATAAGGCAAAATGAGGAGTGAACCCCAGCAACCAACCAAACCCGTGAGGCAAAGGGCGTCAGTTGGCAGGTGACGGTCGCAATGTCGCCAACAACAATGTCTTTCTCGTCCTCCACCTGAACTGCATTGCAGCTCAAGGAGTTCAAGCAAGCAGCACCCACGATCAAGTGCAGTGGGGCCTCTGTTATGGCCTTCAGTTCCATGTTGCTGACGTGAGCAGTGAATGCCTGAAGCTAGAGTTCGCTCAGTGAAGCTGGCAAGTACACATACTTTCGTGGCGCATGTCAAGTGCCAATATTTGGGCGTTCACCTCCACATCTGCAACTTGGTCGGGAGACATGGTGGTAAGCCCCTGCACTGGGTTCGCACTAGCTGAATGCGCACAAACGTCCCACCATGCCGCCTTCCTCTGATCACGGTCTTTTTGCAGGTAGTCCAGCAGCGTCGAAGTCTGAGAGTGGCTGTCGAAACGGGTCTCTGCTCCCCAACGGAAGACTTTCAACTTTGCAGGGATCCGTGCTGTCATGCGCCATCATGACGTGAGAGGGTCAACAAATTGTAAGCCAAGGAGACACGCGAGTCGATGGCAGCTCAACCACAAAAAAGTTCGACGATCTGAGGTGTGAGCGGCATTCTTGCCTTTGAGACAGTGCCTTGGGACTCCAAGACCCGTTTGCAAGCCGGCATGTGGCATGCACATTCTGCGTCTTCGATGTTCGTAGCATTTCGGAGCCGGTTCGCGGCTCGGCCACTTTCGCATGTCAGGTCTGATGGCATGCAAAAAAAGATTTCTGAGAACCAGGCTTGAGGATTTCCTCATTGAAGTGAGGGATTTGAAGGAGCTGTGAGCTCTTGACGTCCAAGGCCTGCAGCCATCCGTTTCTCCCACCGCCCCGCCTGCGCGTGCCCTGGCATCTTGCCTGGATGAGGGAGCGTCGGAACTCGATCATGGCCTGGGCCGTGAAGAACCTCAGTCAGCAACAGCACGGGACCAGTTAGACCGCGGGCTGCCTAGGCTGAGACCGTCTGAATCTGCAGTCTGCAGGGATCCACAGTGCATATTAGTATAGACAGAGCAGCCATTCCCGCATGCAGGCGATCTCAATCATCGCCTGCGTAATCTTCTGCGAATGCCTGCCGCTGCTTCGTGACTGGGAGCACGCTGTGCCAAGCGACGGCAATGCACATCAAGGTACACGCACGCACACGCACGCGCGCGCGCACACATACACACCCACGCACCCACGGACCTTTGAACAAAGAAGCCCACACAGACCTCCAGGCCGCCCTAGTTGTCTGCCACTGCTTTGCTTCAGCAGCATGTCTGTCACGCTCATGATGTCACACGCTGTTGAATATGGGTATGATCTCAGCGCAGTGCGAATCGCAGCAGATGGCTTCATTCGCATTTCAGACCAAGCCTTTGCGGCTTTCTCACCCTGTGAAGAGGGCCAGGCTGCGACAGCCAGGCTCAGGAGAGTGGCAAAGTAGAAGCGCAGCTATGGACAACGTGGATCCATGTCTGAGTGAGGCGCTCATTCTGAGTTCTGTGTGTTGACATGTTGCTGACACTTGTGCCGTCGAACGACCCTGCTGTGATTGCCTTTCGGTTTATACAACTTGCGGGTTGTCCCATCCTTCTGCTGTTACAGTGCTGGCCAGAACGTCTTCAGCGCTCTCATGCCATGCAGTCTCCGTAACGAAGGGTCCAGGATCGCTACAAAAGCCAGGAAAATCAGTTATGATAGTTACTACTAGCGTGATGAAACGATGTCTAAGTGATCGGTATCACGATGCACTTCGTACAGCCTGGTGAGAGCTGCAACGGCTTGCCTCAGCATCTCATCCAGATCTGCTCGGAGGTCGTCAGACATGAGGTGGTGTAGCCGCTGCATGTGGCCAAGAAGCAAGAAGTTGTTCCTGGAGCCGAGATGCGGAATGCTAAAGGAATGAATGAATGAATGATTGAGCACTTGTCAGCGCGAACACCCTTGCTAAGCAAGGCGCTGGTAGCCGCACAACACTCACTATGCCACTATGCTCCCAGAAGGGGGGCGCACTTGATGATGATGGGAGCAGTAAACTGACGCTTCTTGTGTTCGACGACCTGCGCGGAAAGCCTTGCACTGGCACGACTTGAGTCCCGCAGTCCCTGCTCGTGCCCCCCTTGGCACTCAAGAATCTGAGAGCATCACGTCTTCATCTCTGAATTGTCTGATGGTCTCAGAGACATGCCCCTGGGCCAAGTGCAACATGTGTGATTGCCACTCACATCCGCAACCGTAGTTGAGCTGGGGTTTGCCTACAGGGTTTTTGCGAATAGCACAAACAGAACCCTTCCTGCTGCAGCCTGCGCAGGCTCGACCATGAATGAATTCGCAAAAAAAGCATTCAAAATCGTTCTATCATGTCGCCCTGCATGCTGAAATATGCTGAAGCAGTGTCGGACCCAGGACTTAGAAGCTCACTGACACCTCTGATGCGCGCGCCTGCTCTCTGCTGAAGCTGCGAGCAGCTCCGGGCAGTTCTTGAGCCTCGTGGCCTTGAGTGACAAGCACGGTGACTCGTAGATGCGAAGTCCTAATCAAGGGGATAGCTTGGCAGCACACCTCGTTGATATAGTACCTGCGCCAGCAGAGGACTCCCGGCTTCCACTAACTAATGCTGCCCTCAGGCCCCTTGAACTATTGTTCTGCTGAGATACCCCATGAACTGCAGGGTCTCTATCATGACGCCGTTGGCCGCGTAGTTTTTCGTCCTGTGGTGCTCAAGACGAACGAGGGCTTGTCTTCTGTGCATCCGCAGGCTTGGCTAGCATCTCACGAACTACTCCAGCTTGTGCTCAGAAGATTCACCCCATGAGGCCATGAGATGCAGCCTAAACAAATTCTCATGAAGCTGCCAGAAGACGGCGGGCCTCTGGTAGTAGCAGATAAATGCCATGGGCACAACCTTGCGAAAAGAAGGCCAGTGCTACTGAGGTTACAGGTACTTGTTCCGTCTGGCAATGATGCCACATATTATGCAAACAGCAGGCACCTGACAACGCCTTTTGAGCTTCTGGCAAAGAGCAGCAGAAAGAAGAAGAGACAAAGTATCATCTGGCAGAAGATTCGAGGACGGTGGTGTGATTGCCCTGCTGTGTGTCGTATGACCGATGCTGGCAACCCGCCAGAACTTCAGCATCATGATACAACAGCAGAATGCGCCGAGAAGACCAAATGATTCTCCTTCTCCAGCAAAAAGCGTGGCCTACGGAGAAAGGCATCAACAATCATCAACATCTGCTGTGCATAAGACCCTGCGAAGCAAACAGCTGGCAGATTGCATTCGCAAAGGCCCGGGCAGCCCGATACCAACTTTCGAAGTCTGCGGACCATCCGGATTGCCATACCTACACAAATACTGGTATCTGATGAACACACTCTTCACGATCATGCCGCACTTCTCGTAGTTGGCTTTGGCTGTCTCATCTGTTAGCGCGTTGTGCGCCTTGGAAACAATTCATAACAATTCGTGAATCCAATAAACTTCAGATAGCAGGCCATGAAAAGTCCTGCCGATGCCTTCGTGATCTGCATGAAGCGCGAAGCAGCCAACGGATCATCAGGGTTTTTGTCCGGGTGGTATTTCAGAGACAGCTGCCGGTACGCCTTGCGATCTCTGCTCTCAGACTCTCAGGTTACATAGAGATACAAAGTGCAAGAAACTCCAGACGATCTAGCCTTCTTGACTTCGGTGGCTGATGCGCCGGGACTGACTTCCAGAATCTCGAAAGGATCAAACCTTCAGGAAGCCACAAACTCGCGAGCTGCATCTCGGGAAAGGCGTGTTTGCAGTGCAACCTGCCTCTTGATCTCTTTAGCATCACCAAGATGCACGTGGATCAGGTATATAGTAAGCCTTCGACGAGTTCGGAAGCTTCGCTACATGCAGCGGCACGCACAAACCTTCACCATCCTGCAACACAGCACGATGCGGCTAAGCGCCCAACCAAATGCCAGCCAGCAGCGATAATTTGATGATCATTGTGAACGACGAGCCTAGCCGTGAAATCAGGTCAGTTTATGCAACAATCCTTCCATAACCTGGTCATGACATGGGTCTGGCGACCTGCACTTGCTCTCCTCGCCTTTTGGCGGGCCTGACATCGGGTCTGAGATCGTAGTTCTCTCGGTGGCTGGATTAAAGACAGCATGAACTCCCCCATCATCTGCACTTGCAAGCATGGATTTCTCGCTCGAGGGCTTCGCCTTTTCTATCTTGTCCACCATCTGCGAGCCTTGGAAAACACTGGGAGTCATCGAAACTGGCGGAATTGACCAGTAAGTGCTTGCATCCTTTTCTTGCCAAGGCATCGACTTTGACAGTAGTGATATCTACTTCCAGATTTGCTTTTGGTTGGGAAATCCTGGCACCAAAGGCACGGCAGCTGCAGTCCCTGGTTTGGTAGCTCGAGCTGCATGAGCTGCCTTTTCCACTTGGGCTTGACCGGGAAAGAGGAAGTTGTAAATGACTGAGCATGTCCATGGCACGGCGACAGTCACCAGCACCTGTCACCAACATCTGTCAAAGACACCAGCCAGGCAAGCCTACCGAAAGTAGGACAGCCGTACGCTGCTGAAGAAGTAGTAGAAGGCCGTGTCATCGTATCCGAGAAGTCCCTCTTTCTGATCATCCTGGCACAAGCGAGCAGCGTCGTGCTAGAATTAACAGCAAGTTCCTACCAGGTTCTTTTGCCTCATTGGAGAACATGATTCACGGATACGGTACAATAGCAGAGCAGACCGAAACGATTGACGGATGGCGAAGGGCAACCATAGCTTTACTCGTCTGAGCATAATCCACAAGCGTCTGGCTCCAGGGCTGCGAGATACTACGAGTACGGGTCCTTGGTGAAGGTGTCTTTGAAAGACATCGCTCACCTTCAGTACAGTGCGGCGAAGTTTTGCAACACTTGCAAGCTGGAACCTCCGCGGGTACGATGAGAAGCCAACGCTGGGCGAGGTCCCAATCGCATTGACCACAAAACACTCTAAATAACGGGATGCTTGAAAGCGAGGTGTGAGTGGGTGGGCTAGGATGTCTGAGAAGTTGGTTTATTTTCCAATCGGTGACAGACATGTCGAAGATCTGTCCCACTACCAGTGGCTGAACAGGCTTTGAAGTCTGACCAACATGCTCATCACGCCGCTTGAGTTCGTATTCAGAAACTTCAGATTGATGTCCGCAAGCGGCCACGAGCATTCAGTGACAAAGCACGCTTGCAACTGGGCTCTGGCGGGACGACACATGGCATGCGCACTGCAGCAAGCAGGACTGGGCGTACTTACGCGGCCTGGAGAAGAGTCCACCTTGGGCGGCTTCCCTGTGGAGCCGGTGACACTGCACAAATTGAAGCGACCATGCAAGGTTCCGGGTTAGTATAGTTAGCTTGCCATCCTTGCTGGGGAAAGGTTCCAGGATGAGACGGGAACCTGTACATGTGGCAGGTAGTTTTGCGGCCTTGTCTGAGTGTCAGAGCGGTGCACGATTTGCCTACTCCTCTTCTCTCAGCTTCATCTTCATCGCATGCAAGTGAGCCTGCAAACGATTGGAGGAAGGAGAGCTAGGCAGGAAAGACGTAACTGGACATGGAACGTCCCTTGCACCTTGGTCTTCTCTTGCCGCTCCCCGGATTCCGAGATGCTCTTCTCGAAATGAGCCATGAAGCGCATCATGTCTTGCACCTTAGAATTTCTCTTGGAATCCAGAGATCGGGAACATCGGCAGCTCACGAGAGCTTGGGCTTCTTGGTTGCCTGCCATACTCTCTTGGCTCGTGGACCTCATCTGGAGCTCCATAGACATCCTCGGTGCACGAACGTTTCTCGCAACAGCTTCGGAACAGCTCTGCTTTCGGCCTCGCTCTCACATCTTCCAGATGTCTGAGCACTTCGGGCTCCTGCCATGCAGTGCTGGGATCACCGGCAGCACGGCCTTCTCTGTCCACTACCGGGCTCACCTTCTGCTTGATCCTGCTATCCAGCCTGGCAGGGTCCGAGGGTCCGCACTGGCTCCGCGCACTTCCGTACCTCTTACGCCGGTCCTTTTTGGCAGAGCGAGCAAGCATGTCAGGCCCGCGAGCTGAACCGATCTTCGGCACGCTGCCGCATTTCGTGACCTTTGTGGCGCCGGGCCTGCGACACCGAACGGCCCCTCGCGGCACTCGCTTGCTCGCTCGAAGCTACGGAGATGATCCGGCAGCGGATGAGAGGCGCCAACCTCGCGCTCCTCGGCCAGTCTTCGCCTCTCGGAAGGTGCTTTCTGCACACAAAAAGAGAGCAGAAGAGCATAGCAAAGCGGAAGCTTAGGGCCTCAAAGAGTGGAAGCGGTTCTGCATGTCACCCATGAAGCGATCGTGCTCTTCGGATCGCTCGGCCACCTCTGCAGATGCGCCCCGTGGTTTGATGGATCATCGCGTCTGCGGGGCGGTGTTTAAGCTCATGTCATCGGGTCGCTGGGAGTTGGTTCATGGGGCCTCCAAAAGCCACCCCAAGAAATGTCAGCTTCAGGACTTAGACGGGGCGGTTTGCAAACACGGATACAGATTTCGTGGAGAGAGGAAGCAGCACCACTGCAGGCGTGCAGCTGGCGGTTTCTGCATGCTCATGAATACTTCTGCAAGCCGGAGGCAGTTGCTCATGTCATCTGGCAAAGCCGCGCGGCCTGCCTGCTCAGCCAGGAATTCCTTATGCCTCAGAAAACAAACAAATCTGAACTCAGCATCATCTCAGACTGCAGGCACAGTTTGAGTTCCACCTCTCGCCACGAGCACGGGTGAGCTGGAATGCTCATGGGTTTTGATCATCCCGTCGGACTGTAGTGACTACACCATTCCTCCTTGCTCGTTGCATCTCGTGACTGGGTTAATTCTGCAAAGCAAGGTGCTAAAGCGCACGTGGTGCTCTTAAACATGGGTTCTGGCCAAGCACCTGGATTGGTCTGAAGAGTATTTCTCCTTCAGCGACTCTCGGCAAGAAACAGGCTCGGAACACGAAACCCGAAAACGCACACACACACACAGACAGAC